TCCTGCTGACTTACAGAAGTGATGCCTAACCCTACCACCACCACTTCCCTTGTAGCTCCCCTTCTTACATGAGACTGTACTGAGTCACAGGCTCCCATCTGGCTCCGGGCTGCTGCTTTGTCCTCGTGATCTGCTGTTATCTCTGGGTTTGTGATGAAATGCCTGCTTCACTTGCAGCTCAATTTCCCATGTTTTTTCTGTCTCTCTTGCAGGACTGCCACCCAAGGCATGGCAACACCCTCAGTGTTCCCTGGGGTTACTTTGCCAGCCGCTGTCACCTCTGCCCCGTTAATAGCACCTGCAGGGCTGCCAGCCACTGCCCCTGGAGCCCCTCCAGTTCCTTTCCCAAGCAGCTGCACTGCTGGCTCAGGAAGCCCTCTCTTCCAGCCAGCATCATTCCAGCAGCAAGGCAGTCCTGTGAAAGCACCTGAAATTTCTTTGACCAATGTCCATGTTCCCTTGGAATCCATTAAACCCAGTAAGTATCTCAGGTTTTCCACTTTTCCCTGAACATTTTTTAAAAGCAAAGCTTCTTGACAAAGCTTATGAAGTAGAGAGAAAGGATGAAGTGTTCCAGCCCAGCGGTCAGTTTGCCTAATGCTGCCACAGATCTTCTTCTGCAGCATAAACCTGCGTTCCTCTCCCCTTCTCTCTCTGCGGTAGGCAGTGCCCTCCCAGTGACAGCCTATGACAAGAACGGCTTCCGGATCCTCTTGCACTTTGCCAGGGAGTGCCCGCCGGGAAGGTCGGACGTGCTCGTTGTGGTAGTCTCCATGCTGAACACGGCACCGCTTCCTGTGAAGAACATCGTGCTGCAGGCTGCTGTGCCAAAGGTAGGGCTGCGTGGCTCAGACCCACGGCAACGTGAAATTCTGCATTCCGGAAGGCCTAGGTGTGAACTCAGGGACCTGGGACAGCCTGGTTCTACCTTTCTATAGGCTCTGCTCTGCCTGTTTCCAAAACATGAAGGTGGTTGTCAGAGGCAGAAAACACTGAATAGGATAAGTCAAGAATTGCAGGTAGTTAGTGTCCTATTTTTCTTGCTACCTAAGGTCAGTCCAGCTGTGTCTGTTCACAAAGATGGCTCAGAGAGCACGATGACAGGACTGTTACATAGAGCCACACTTGAGGTCTTCAGAATCAGAATTTCTAACAGCCATCCTAAATTTGACAATATGTTCCATTCTAATCTTACTGCACCCAGATAATTATGGATGGCCAGCTTTGTGTTTTGAAAACTGGCCCAATCTCAGCTACGATCTGCCTACTGTCGTGAAGGTGTTTGCATCAAAACCTCTGACACGAGCACTCAGATAGGAAGGTGCTGTTGGTGCTCACCTGACCAATGCTTTTACTCTGGGCTGACTTGTCAGTCTGCCTGTTCCTATCATGTTGCACAAGCTGGGCTGGCTCTTGTTTCCTCATCCTCGCATGCCGATTGATTCTCTTCAGTTTGAATGTGTGCCGTTATCTCCCAAGCCTGTGTATGCATCTTTCATTGTCCCCAAGGCAGGAGATAATCCCTGAGGTTCTGCTTTCTTTTCATTTGCAGTCCATGAAGGTGAAGTTACAGCCACCCTCTGGCACAGAGCTGTCTCCATTCAATCCCATCCAGCCACCTGCTGCCATCACCCAAGTCATGCTTCTGGCCAATCCTACGAAGGTGAGAGAGGCAGTGGGATTTATCCTGTCCTTGTCAGACAAATTTGATGTAAGCTGAAGTCTGCAGGAGCGTTGGACCAAACAGTTGAGCAGATACAGCTGTTTGTCCCTAGCTTGTCCTCCAGAGGTGGTTACTGCATAATGGTGGTGTTCCAATTCAGGTCTGGAGGGAGGCTGTGCCCCACCAGACTTTGTCAGCAAGGAAAGGTATGAGAAGGACCTGTACGCTTCTCCCAGCAAAAGGGCAACGATCATATACAGCTCAGCTTTAAAGCACAGCAATCAGAGCTGTATTAGGAGTTTGTCTGACTCCCTTGTGCACTGGAAGTGCCTGGCTTTGGTGATAATTAGATTGATGTCAAATTAGCTGGTGCTGTAGAAATACTTTTGCTGGGTTGAGGCTATAGCCTGACAGACCCGAACCAACAGACACATGTCACATCATGTCTGTTCCGTTATTCTTTGAGGATGTACCTGTGACCAGTGAAACGTGGTTAACACTTCCTTTTCTGCTGATCATGCTGGGAGCATCTGGGTAGTTGTTTTTCCTTGCCGTAGTTACTCATTTAAGTAGCCTGCTTCATAAAGCTCAAAGCTGTATGCTGAAGTGGTTTCTAATTATTTGACAAATCTAGGTGTTACTGTTTGAGAATTGCATCGAAACAGTTCTCAAAGTGTCAGCTGAAAGCTTTGCAGTCCCAAAGGATAAATGTCAGATGGGTTTGGAGGATTGTTGAAAAACTGAGATGCACGGAGATCCCCTCATTGAAGGACTGGTTCCATCTCCTGCTTACTGTTTCACTAGGAATTTTGCAGAGCAGGAACTGTTTTATCTTACTTCAGATGAGGAGGAATTTAATTTTGAAAACATTGAACTATTCCAGCAGTGTTCTTCAGGCTCACTGGAGAGCAGCTGAGCAACATGTGCTGGCCACGTATGTGCAGACTATTATCACAGGGTATTCATGCTTTCCTCTTACTGTTCCATGCTAAGCAATAAAGCTTTTGTGGTACAAAAACTGTAAGGTAAATAACTCAGGTTTGCTAAATAGCTGAACTACTCCATGAACTTAACCTTGGCCCTCTTCCCCCTGCTTGGTGCCACAACAGAGAACTGTTTTGTTCACAGCAACTGGGGCTATTCTCATGTTGCTCTTGGGTTTTGTCTTTCCTGCAGGAGAAAGTGAGGCTGAGATACAGACTGACCTTCACACTGGGAGACCAGCCCAGCACAGAGGTTGGCGAAGTGGATCAGTTTCCCCCGGTAGAGCAGTGGGGGAATCTATGACCTTAGGACACTGCCAGAGACTCTGTGACAGGACCAGGAAAGGATCCCGCAGGACTGGAACGAATGTGACGTGAGGAGGGACGCACATGCTATCCACTGGTGATGTTCAGCTTTGTTTACATGTCCTGACCACTCTGCTTGTAGCTTTAGTCCAGAATGTTTTGCCCCACGTCGAAGGGGTCCTGGAACACTTATGCCAAGCATGAACTGGGTGGCAGCCAGTAACGGGCAGTGCTGTCTGCTTTTATCTTGACCTCTGGGTGAATCTGGTTCTATCTTCCACGCTATTAAACTTGAAGTTACTGTATTTTGAGGGGAGACCTGTCAGCAGAAGGGGATTTAGTTGGCTTGTTCCTGTACTGCTGTCCAGAGATACCTACAGGCTGGTGGGGTGATGATGCCACCATGAGCTTCCTCAGTGCAGAGCCCTTACACATGCCCTCCCTCGGACTTTTACCTCCTCAGTGCCAGACCGGACCCGCTAAGCATGTTGAGCAATAATGCTGGCTCCATGAGGGAATGCTTGTTTTTTACACTGAAATGGCGCTTAGCTCCCTTCCTCCCCCTCCGCCACTTCATTTCCAGCAGCCGATGGAAGCAGACCCTCGCTCTGTGTCGTCCAACACTGCTGACTCTTTAGTTGTTTTATTTATTTTATGCTGCTGGCTGCCTCCCTGGTGTATCCGTTTTGGGCAGCTGGGGCTGAGTTTTGTACGCAAATGGTTACACTGGTTATTTTTCTGCCTTCGTTGCATTCCATAGTGCGGGGAAAAGAGGAAGCGTGTAGTGAGGAGGTAAACGGGGCTGGAACGGAGCAGTCAGTATGGGTGGAGGACAGCACCTGGAGTGCAGAAGTGTCTTTACAATCACTAATCAGGTGCAGTGACTGAATCCAGGGATAAGGAGAGATGCCTCTCGTGTCCCCTCATGCAGGCAGTATTATTATTGTAGTTGAATACTGTGTTTTATTGAGATGAGTACAATGACATACAAGATGTAAATAATAGAGCTATAGGCTATCTAAATAGAAACAAGCAGACAGTGAAAGGAAGGCAGGCTCCACTGGGCTGTGACAATGCATGTGCTGGGTTCAACACCCTGTTTTAATTGTTCCCTGTATTAAGTGGCCACGTGCAATTGTCTCCACACGGGGGAAAGCAGATTTGCTGGACAGCGGCGCTCTGCGCTAACGGGGCAGAAGAGCTGGCCCCTCCAGCTGCAGTCTCACCAAAATGTGATTCCAGCAGTCCCTTCCCTCTCCCTCTCAATTTTCAATCTCCAGCAGTGCCTCAACTAGCTTTGGGACAGACTGTTTTAAATTAATGGGGGATTTTTAACAGCCATTGACAAAAGCACAGATAGGGTGGATCCTTGGACACTAAGCTCAGCATTTCTAGGAGTGCTGTCAAGCAACAGCTCTTAATCGAACTGTGCATGGGAGCTGTCAGCTAAAGCACTGGGAAAATCAGTACACGGGAGGAGACCCCTGCCTGCTGTAGGGGAACTCCAGAGAGGAACGTGCTGCTGGAATTAATGGCGGCTGTAAAACCCATTACTGCCAATGCAGCTTGGAGTTATTTGTAGTTGAATTTTTCTTGACTGGGTTGCAAAGTAAAAATCGCTAGAGGTGAGAAACTCAGCGGATTCAAAGGTCTGAGCTCCTAATCGGGGGAGGCACCAGGCAGTTGCAGAAGCCCCTGAAGGTGGAATCAAAGCTCGGCCGAGGAACTTGCTGTAAATGCCTGGGCTGAAGCTCATGAAGACCCCAGCCTTGTCCGCTCCCTGATGTGAAGGCAGGTGGGAGGGATGGGTACGTTGTTTGGATCCTTAAGGAAAGCGGTTTTAAATCGACAGACTAGGATGGGGACAGGGAGAGAATTCTTTCTGCCTCAGACATGTTCTTGCCAGCACTTTAGACACAGTAGGCGTGGGGGTAGTGCTTAGGTGACGGTCGCGTCCCCTGAGGAAGCAGGTTTCGCTGCTTTAGATGCCTACACGTGAATCTCACTGTGACTCTGAGGAAGTCAGAAGAGCACAAGTGCTTTCTGCAGAGCGGCTTTGTTCTCAGTGTTAACGGCAGCACGCTGCCCGCGCTGTACAGCCAAATGGAAAGATGCCGTAGTCTTGCTGCGTGGAAATGTGTTGTTAAAAGCTTTGGAAATTAAAACTATGAATGTTCCCTGTCTGTAGGGTGAGGTTCCTGCTTCACACCGAGCAGCCGTCACTGTATATACATCTCAAATGCATTTGTTCTGCTGCATGTTAAATAAATGGTTTTCCCTACTCTGCTCTGTGGATAGCCCTTACTAATGACTGCTTGTGGAGTACGGTGCTGTGTCTGGAAATCCAAAAACTCAACCCATCATCTCAAGACCATCCAAACTAAGCAAAAAGGAGAAGTTGCTGTTTTCTAAAACCCCAGTGGTTTAAAAGGTGGGCTTAATTTCACTTCTGGGTATTAGAGACCAGGAATCTGAAAAGGCCGAGGTAATGCTGCCATTGGTAATGAGGTTTACTTTACCGGGGGAGGGTTGCCAGGCCAAGTTGGAACAAGCAACCTTAACATTTTGACGCGCTCCTTCTTAAAAGTTACCTTTACTTAAAGTTCTGTTTATGGAAGACAAGAACAAATCGCCAAGCAATATGCAAAACAAGACGTTTATTCTTAGAAAAGCAGACAGGTTTATGTACAGTGAGCCACAGAGGAAGAGTAGAATCACATACTGCTGTCTTCAGGATCCTTCCAATGTGCCTTCTTTGACGATGACTCGTGCAAGATTCCGTGCAAGAGCGAGCCTCAGCATTTCCACTTTCGTAGTCTCAACGTCGTCATCCTAAAAGCGAGCAGAGTTTGGGTTAGACCACCACACACAGTAGGTCATTGAGAGGGAGAGTACCTGTGTATTTACCTGTTACAGGGACCTCCTGAGGAGAGCAAAAGCTACGTTTCCTACTTTTTAGATGAACGCAAGACAGCACTGCCAAGCCTTTTCTTTTTCTGGCAGCTGCAAACGTTTGCATGTGTAGGAAATGGCTCCCTGTTCCACGCCTGGAACGTTTCATAGCTTGAGCTGTTAGATGGCAGCATCTCAGCTTTTCATTGCCTCTGTAATTTGCAATTATTTGCCTTGGAAAGCATTGCAGTCCAATCCAAATCAGCAGAAGAGTGAGGAGCGGAAGCACTCCGGTACTGGGTTTGCGTGTACCTAAATCTCTCGATGATGCCTCATTTGGCTGGCCTTTAAAACTAACACCCCCTACCAGCCTCAGTAACTCAGGCTCTCCCTCTTTTCTGCTGCCCCATAGGAATATGACTGTAGAGCTTGCTTTCCCCGCCCCTCCCCACAGCCCCACCAATGCTTTATCCAGTTGTCCTCGGAACAGGAGCTACCTGGAATTTCTGCTTATCCGACTTCCCTGCTGTCAGGTCTTCCAGGCATCGCATCAACTCGTAAGTCTGCTCTGCTGAAAATACGACCTGTGGAAATGGAAGTATTTACAGAAAATGATCACATTTATGGACATCGCGCAGTCTGAGATAACTCAGTTGAGAGGAAGAAAATGGTTTCACACTCCCAGAGATCCATTCTGACCCTTTAAATCACAGGATCAGAGGATAATTCAGGCTGGAAGGGACTTTGGGAGGTCTCTAGTGCCACCTGCGCAAAGCAGGGTCAGCTATGAGGTCAGCGCCGGTGCTCTGGGCTTTTTCCAGTCACAGATCTGTAACTGCTGAACTGTCATTTTCTTGATGAATCTTAAAGCATAAATTGGGCTTAGCAGAAGGAAGTGCACTAGAAAAAACCTTCCAGCCAAGTGCCAGAAGGAACTGGATGCGGTGTGTACTTAAGTCATCAGCGTATGTGTATTCTGCTGGTGTTTTCTAAAAGCGGGGAACCAAGTTCAGAGTTGATTGCCCTGCCCTGGGTCCTGCGTGCTCCTGCTGATCGGACACTTGGATGCCTGTGCGATTCTGGAACTGCCACAGGCGGTGCTTTTGCACTGGAAGTGCAAGTCCCAGCCTGGGGGCAGAAAGGGGGTCACCACTTCGAGATAACTTGTCAGGAAGAAAAGAAAGGGGCTGGGTGGGGGGCTCTGTCCTGTGTGACCAGTGTGCTCACCTCTTTCTGCTCCAGCAGGGGAAGGGCGTCTGTCAGCAGGGTCATCCAGAAGGAGCACGGAGCAATGTGAGCTGTCATCAACATCAAGAGCAACTTGGCAGCTTCAGAGAACCGCTTCTCCCCATACAGCCGGTGGAATTCTCGGTACTTGCCTACACACGGGTGTTGGTGAAGGGTAAAAGGCGTCAGTGTCTGTTGGAGCTGCTCTGGCCTGGGCCACTGGACGTTGGGGGGGTCCGTTTGCTCCTGTGAAGCCCGTGGTAGAACTATCCCTCCCCCACCCCCAAAAACGAGCCTCCGATCAGCTGAGTCTGGGGAAATGGGAATCTTGTGCATGAAGAAAGGTTAAAATAGAGGCTGGCTGAAAAGGCAGCCAAAAACCTGTTGCTGTTCTTGGTAAGGTTTACTGTTGGAACCAGCCCCTTCGCTGTCTGGTGCTGAGTGTTTGCAAGATGAGCAACAGGATGAGTGGGTCAGAGAGGCTGGGGGCGTCTGCAAAAGCCAGGATTGGGAGGGAGAGGCGCGGGTGAATGTTCTCTTTGATACCGCAGAATATCAGGAGGTCTGAAAGGCTTCATCATCTTCCTGATTGTTTAAACGGAAACTGAGATCTTTGTTAATGTGGAAAGTTCTGGTTCCGCTAAGAATTAGATCGATATCCACCATGTGAGAACTGGATGAGAATGAGTTTTATTCTGTGGCTCTGTTTGTATCCACTAAACTGTCAAAATACTGGAAGCAACGATTCCCATTCAGATTCACCTTTGACTAATGCTTGAGCTCAAGATAGAGACCCATGAAAGTGGTCCAGCAAAAATACACCTGATGTTTCTAAAGCCTCCAAAGGAAAAACAAGCAGAAGTATTTTCAGGCCTTTCAGGACATTTTATAAAAAGCAGAAAGGGAGGCAATTTCTCTACAAACACAGTTACGCAACTAAACTACAAATTGTTGGGGCTGATGCAAGGGTCACTGGGTGACACTGGGCATACAGAGATAGGAAGGATTACCAATCTAGGCTTAATTTAGGGTAAGGTTTAAATGAAGGAAATACAGTTCCAGTTTTGCAAGCTTGGACCAAATGGGAACAGATCAAATTCAGGATCCCCCTCACAGTAACGGTGGTGTCAGCCAGAAGGCAGGCAGTCCACTTGCCAACAGCTGTTCCAAATTCCTATTAGATTTTGGCCCCAGTAACTGGGTTTGCTAACTGCCACAGCACCAGAGAAAGGTGCATCTTAGCTCAGTTTCCTGTCCTGGTCCATTAGGCAAAGGCCACAGAGCAGCTGCAGCCAGATGGGCAGGTTACCACAGCCCGCGCTTGTGCCAGCCAGGAGAAGGAAGCTGTGGTACGTAAAGGAAGCGAGCTGGAGGCCCTCCTCTGGTATTTGGCACAATTGCTACAGTGAAAGGGGAGGAGAGATCTTTTGTTTGAGCGAGCCTGAAACTGGCGGACTGAACCAACAAAAGATGCTGAGATTTTGGAGAATTTTACAAAGTTAGTAAAATTATCACTTTGTCAAAATAATTTAAACCAGTGGTTTACTCTTCTAAGGAAGCTCCTGAAGGTCTTCCAGATTGTGTTTGCTAATATTTCAAAGTCTCTCTAGGTAGTGATACAGTCTGGAAAAAGTCTAAGAAAGGGGAAGCATACAAATGTCAGAATTCAAGACTATCCTGCTCAACGCAGTGCAGAACAGACGCCTACTGTGAGTGCGATTGGAAACACAGTCTCCCGGTAGCAAGCAGGCTGCATCCCAAATCACCTTCAGTCATTCGCTTTCCCCTCGTCACTAGAACAGGATGTAGCCAGATGGAGGAAGAGACAAATCCAACTAATTC